TAAGTATAAAATAATTTGTGGCCTAATTCATCCATGCTACGGAATAAGCGTAGATTTAATAATTGTAACCAAGTTTCCAATGGATGAAAGAAGTAGCAAATTCAATCATGTTTTGGTTCTAATCATGATATGTAAGGGTATTCATAGCTAAGTTTCCAACCACTCATTTCCCATTGCCTCGTGCTTATAAGATGATTTGTCTTCAGAAAAAGGTTTTCTCTTCTTCTTCGAATTTCATTTCCGAGAGAGAGAATCAAAACTAAAAGGAGCTCCTAATCCGAATAATGATAAACTTATCGAGGCTGTTTTTGCAACTAAAGGATGAAATTGAGGGGGGGGGGGGGGGGGGGGGGGGCGCTATTGGAAGTTTAATCAATTAGTTCCGTCTTTTTTCATTGTGTTAAGACAACATAGACCCCATAGTGGTTTCAGTATCCACAACTATGGATTCCAATTATTGTTTCCTTTTTCCTTTCATCAAATATGATATTCTACTACCCTTATTTGTTAGTCGACCATTGTCTGTTCTTTTGCCCACTATTGGAATCATAGAGCACATCATATGGGAATTCAATCGAAATTGTGTTCCTCTCATGCATCAACTTAATACTGACCCATATGAAACCTACAAATACATTAATCAACTGAAGTTGATCGAAGCTCAAAGGAGCTATGCATTGCAAAATTGTGTTTTCTAGCTTAAAATAGAAAAGATAAATTTGAGTTCTCTTGAAAGTTCGGATCCAAGCAAGCATAAGACCAACTTGTAAAAACGAAAATCAGCTTATTTTTTATGAATATGAATATGAGCTTATTTATTAGTATAAGCAACCATGTCTACCTACAGAGTAAATTAGATACATGATTCCATGGTATTTCTGAACATATTTTACTATATATTAGAAGACTCTAGGATTTACTACCAAAAGTGGGCCCCATCTCCTTCCACTTAAATAATATTTTTCAACCTTATCATGGTAAAAGTTGAATTTATTATCCTTTTCATTTAATTTTATATGATATTATTTTTTCTATAAAATCATTATATATGTTTTAATAATTTAAATTTCAAAAACATTATAATTTAACTTTAAAGATTTTATTTTATCAAAATCTTGTACATTGAAATATATAGTTATGAATTTAAAATATTTTTAAAATCATATAAAAATTTCAATAACTTCTCAAATTCCATAATAACTATTACTATATATTAGAAGAGTCTAGGATTTACTACCATTGTCCCAATTAAGTCATTACAAATGTCCAATACTTACTATATAAAATATATAAGTGGGCCCCACCTCCTTCCACTTATATAATATTTTTCAACCTTATCATGGTAAAAGTTGAATTTATTATCCTTTTCATTTAATTTTATATGATATTATTTTTTTCTATAAAATCATTATATATGTTTTAATAATTTAAATTTCAAAAACATTATAATTTAACTTTAAAGATTTTATTTTATCAAAATCTTGTACATTGAAATATATAGTTATGAATTTAAAATATTTTTAAAATCATATAAAAATTTCAATAACTTCTCAAATTTCATAATATAACACTTAAATACTACATATTATATATTAATTATTATACTATAAATGACTTAAATACTCCATATTATCTATTACAATAATTAACAATTATTTGACACTTTAAATTCTATCAATGCCATATAAATTAGGATAAAAAACCTAACATATAATATTTAAATATATTTAAAAATAATATAAGTAATACTATACATTACAATAATTAACAGCTTAATTATTTAAAACTTATATAAAAAATTTAATTGAGTCTCTAAATTCTATTGGTACCACATAAAATAGATTATATAATAATATCGTTTGAAATTGACGAAAAAGAAACAATAAATTACAATAATTAATAAAAAAAATAGTCCACTCCAAAAAATCTATCAATTAACAACATATATTGTTTGAAATTGACGAAAAAGAAACTATAAATTACAATAATTAACAAAATAAATCTCTCAACTCCAACAAATCTATCAATTACTGCCACATAAATTGGGACATGGCAAATAACATATGGTATTAAAAATTTAGGTTCAAAATGTACTAAAAAATACAATAATTAACAACTTAATATATTAAAGAGACATAAAAAAGGGTTAATATTTAAAATTCTGCATGTGCCACATAAATTAGAACAAATACAGTAATAAATATTACTTTCAAAATTATGTTAAAAAAAAGTACTACAAATCACAATAGCTAAAAATTTAAAATATTTTTAAAATCATATAAAAATTTCAATAACTTCTCAAATTCCATAATATGACATAAATTTTAAAAAAAAGTGTTATAAATCATAATAAATAGTACAATATTTAAACTACTTTAAGAGCATTATAAATTGTAATAAATAATACAACAATTTAAATTACTTATTACTTAAAATTTAACGACTTAAAAATATTTTTTTAAATGTATTAAAATTTTGGTTAATTGTCAAAACTTTACATGTGCCACATAAATTGGAACATGGACAGTCAGACATATTTTTTTTAAAAAATTACATTAAAAGTATTCTATCAATTAACAACATATATTGTTTGAAATTGACAAAAAAGAAACTATAAATTACAAAAATTAACAAAATAAATCTCTCCACTCTAACAAATCTATCAATTAATGCCACATAAATTGGGACATGGCAAATAACAGATATTATTAAAAAATTAGGTTCAAAATGTACTATAAAATACAATAATTAACAACTTAATATATTAAAGAGACATATAAAAAATGGTTAATATTTGAAATTCTGCATGTACCACATAAATTAGAACAAATAGAGTAATAAATATTATTTTAAAAATTATGTAAAAAAATAGTGCTACAAATCACAATAGCTAACAATTTAAAATATTTTTAAAATCATATAAAAATTTCAATAACTTCTCAAATTCCATAATATAACACTTAAATACTACATATTATATATTATATATTAATTATACTATACTATAAATAACTTAAATACTCCATATTATCTATTACAATAATTAACAATTATTTGACACTTTAAATTCTATCAATGCCATATAAATTAGGATAAAAAACCTAACATATAATATTTAAATATATTTAAAAATACTATAAGTAATACTATACATCACAATAATTAACAGCTTAATTATTTAAAACTTATATACAAAATTTAATTGACTCTCTAAATTCTATTGGTACCACATAAAATGGATTATATGATAAACACATATTGTTTGAAATTGACGAAAAAGAAACAATAAATTACAATAATTAATAAAAAAAATAGTCGACGAAATTGACGAAAAACAAATTATAAATTACAATAATTAACAAAATAAATCTCTCGACTCCAACAAATCTATCAATTAATGCCACATAAATTGGGACATGGCAAATAACATATATTATTAAAAAATTAGGTTCAAACAGTACTATAAAATACAATAATTAACAACTTAATATATTAAAGAGACATATAAAAAAGGTTAATATTTGAAATTCTGCATCTGCCACATAAATTAGAACAAATAGATTAATAAATATTATTTTCAAAATTATGTAAAAAAAAGTACTACAAATCACAATAGCTAACAATTTAAAATATTTTTAAAATCATATAAAAATTTCAATAACTTCTCAAATTCCATAATATGACATAAATTTTAAAAAAAAGTGTTATAAATCATAATAAATTGTACAATATTTTAACTACTTTAAAAGTATTATAAATTGTAATAAATAATACAACAATTTAAATTACTTATTACTTAAAATTTAACGACTTAAAAATATTTTTTTAACTGTATTAAAATTTTGGTTAATTGTCAAAACTTTACATGTGCCACATAAATTGGGACATGGAGAGTCACACATATTTTTTAAAAAAAATTACATTAAAAGTATTCTATCAATTAACAACATATATTATTTGAAATTGACGGAAAAAAAAATATAAATTACAATAATTAACAAAATAAATCTCTCGACTCTAACAAATCTATCAATTAATGCCACATAAATTGGGACATGGCAAATAACATATAGTATTAAAAAATTAGGTTCAAAATGTACAATAAAATACAATAATTAACAACTTAATATATTAAAGAGACATATAAAAAATGCTTAATATTTAATATTTTGCGTGTGCCACATAAATTAGAACAAACAGAGTAATAAATATTTTTTTCAAAATTATGTTAAAAAAGAGTACTACAAATCACAATAGCTAAAAATTTAAAATATTTTTAAAATCATATAAAAATTTCAATAACTTTTCAAATTTCATAATATGACATAAATTAAAATAAAAAAATATATATATATTGGGCCCCGTGCTGGCACGGGGTCCTATATCTAGTATAATATAAGCGGTATATTTTCCAAAACTGAAAGAGTTCATATCCGAATACAGATCTTCATTATGAATAGAAACTGCTACATTCCAGTTACCTGCACAGCTTCTGAGGCAGCGAGACAAACCAATTACCTGCACAACTTCTGAGGCAGCGGAGACAAAAGATGCACAACTTCCGAGCAGCGGAAACAAACAAATCATCTGCACAACTTCTGAGGCAGCGCAGACAAAAGATGCACAACTTCTGAGGCAGCGGAAACAAACAAATTACCTGCACAACTTCTGAGGCAGCGGAGATATAAGAGGATGTGAAATCAGAGATGAGATTGAGGGGAAAAAAGGCCGTAAAAGGAGAGTGACATCAACAACATAGCACGGGAACCATTCCTTTCCCCAAACGGAAAATTCATCTCCGACTCGGAGAATCGGCTAAGGGATTTTCTGTGCACTACTCTCCTCGGACTTGATTTCTGCTGTTGTTGCGGTTGGCTGATCAAGCCGATGTTGCCTGGTGGAGCTCCGATTGTATTCCGATTACGAGTTCGAATTCCGACCTAACCGGGTTATTCCTTTCCCAATTTGATGATCCGACAAGCCTGACTCGTTGGTCCGAGAAGCTAGTAGGTTCCCAGGGTGACGTGGCATTTTGATGAGTTGGCGGGTTCTCAACAACCTGGTGCTTTTCCACGTCGGAAGTGACCTGGCCCCTACCTCGTTTGTATAAAATTTCTTGATGTGTGTTACCGAAAATTAAGGTACAACCCTTCGTTGCACTTCATTTTGTTTGATTTTGTTTCGTGATATAAAATGATATAAGCATCCTCTATAACTTGCAAATTGATATTTATGTCTTTTAACTTTTGAATGTACATAAATATATTTAAATTAGTATAAAGTTAAACAAGTAAATACACAAGTCATAAATAATATAAATCAGCAGATTTGGGGAGGCAGGTGGATTAGATATGCCTGTCTAAAAGCAAGTGGAACAAGAGGAGGTATCTTATTGATGTGGGATGCGAGGGCATGGATGGGGGAGGTCTTGGAAATTGGTTCTTACACCATTACTTGTAAATTTGAATCACAAACCCAGAATTTTAGCTGTCATATATCTGGAGTGTATGCTCCTAACTGTTACAAGGAAAGGAGACTTGTATGGGAAGAATTGAGCTCAGTAAGGGGGTTGATGGAGGGACCCTGGGCAATGTGTGGGGACTTCAATGTATCTAGGTACATATCTGAAAAGAAGAACTGCAACAGAAGAACTAAGGGAATGAGAGAGTTTTCTGATTTCATAGAGGACATGGAATTAGTTGACCTGCATTTAGAAGATGCTGCATACACATGGTTTAAGGGAGATCAACAAGAGGCAGCCTCCAGAATTGATAGAATCATGATTTCTAAAGAATGGGATGATACTTTCAACAATTTGAAACAAATTCCTTTTCAAAGGCTGGGCTCAGATCATATACCAATAGCGTTGATTACTGGTTGCTGGGAGAGGAATAAAAGCTACTTCAAGTTTGAAAATTGGTGGCTGCAGTCAGAAGGATTTGTGGATAGAGTTAGAGAGTGGTGGAGCTCCTTCAGTTACACAGGAAGACCTGATTATGTTTTGGCATGCAAACTTAAAGCACTGAAACTTAAGCTAAAGGAATGGAAACAAGAAGAGGGTGGAAATCTGGGCAGTCAAAGAAGGAGATTGTTAGAGCAGTTAGCAGAATTAGATACAGAAAGGGAAAATAGAACTCTCACTGTGGAGGAAATGAGAAAAAAGGCTGCAGTTTTACTTGAGTATGAAGAGCTAGTCAAGAAAGAGGAAGTTTCATGGAGACAGAAATCAAGAGTACTATGGTTGAAGGAGGGAGACAAGAACACCAAATTCTTCCACAAAATGGCAAATGCTCACATGAGATATAACAATATAGATCAACTCATGATACAAGGAGAGGTTACTCAAGAGAAAGGCAGAATTGAATGGGAGATAATAGCATATTATAAGAACCTGTATAGAGAAACACATCAATGGAGACCTTCTTATAATAATGTTGAATGTCCAATGTTGACTGAAGGGGAAAAAATGTCCCTGCAAGGCAGATTTGAGGAGAATGAAGTTCTAAATTGCCTAAAGCTATGTGCAGCCGATAAGGCTCCTGGTCCAGATGGGTACATAATGGGTTTCTTCATCAAGTGTTGGGATGTACTGAAGAAAGACATCATGGACACATTTCAAAACTTTTATGAGCAAGAAGTCTTCGAGAAGAGTTTTAACGCTACCTTCATTGCACTCATTCCAAAGAAAAAAAGAGCCAACGAGTTAAGGGACTACAGACCAATTAGCCTCATAGGGAGCATTTACAAAATACTCTCCAAAGTTCTCACAGAAAGGTTAAAAGTTGTGATAGACAGACTGGTGGACTCACAGCAAATGGCTTTTATAAAAGGGAGACAAATTATGGATGCAGTGTTGATTGCTAATGAAGCTGTAGATTCCAGGATTAAGCAGAAGAAACCTGGCATTCTATGCAAGCTGGACATAGAAAAAGCATATGATCATGTGAATTGGAAGTACCTTCTGAAGATTTTAGAGATGATGGGATTTGGACAAAAATGGTTGAACTGGATCAGCTTCTGCATTTCTACAGTTAGCTTCTTTGTTCTGATTAATGGGTCCCCTGCAGGGTTTTTTCAAACTCAAAGAGGACTCAGGCAGGGTGATCCATTGTCCCCTTTCTTGTTCTTAATTACTATGGAGGGGTTGAATAATATGCTCAAGACAGCAAATATGAGAGGATGGGTAAAAGGTTTTGACGTGGCTAGAGAAAATACAGAAAGTTTGGAGGTGACACATCTTCAGTATGCAGATGATACACTGATTTTTTGTGGAGCTGAGGAAGACCAATTGAAATACTTAAGGGTGATCCTGGTGCTGTTTGAAGGGGTATCCGGGTTGCACATTAATTGGACTAAAAGTTCTATGTATACTATCAATGAGGTCAACAACATAGACTTGTTAGCTTCAATTCTAGGGGGTGAAGTAGGTACTCTACCTACAACATATTTGGGTATGCCATTGGGAGCAAAATCCAAGTCCTTAGAAATTTGGAATGGTGTGATAGAGAAGTGTGAGAAGAAGCTGGCCAGATGGAAAACTCAGTACCTGTCAAGAGGGGGCAGACTGACCCTCATTAACTCAGTCCTGGATGCTCTCCCAACTTACATGCTGTCTCTATTCCTCATCCCACCATGGATCACTAAAAGACTAGACAGCATAAGAAGGAAGTTCTTGTGGCAAGGAAACAAAGAGAATAGAGGCTTTCATCTAGTTAAATGGAATGCAGTGACAACTGGAAAGAAGAATGGTGGTCTGGGAATAAAGAATATGAAGCTACATGGTAAAGCACTCTTAATGAAGTGGCTGTGCAAATACTCAAATGAAAATCGAACACTTTGGAGAAGAGTGATAGGTGCCAAATATGAGAATGAAGACAGTTGGATGACTAAGATTGTGACCACACCTTATGGGATCAGTTTATGGAGGTCCATAAGAGCATTATGGGAGGAAGTTAAACCCAAATTCAAGATGAAAGTGGGGAATGGGAACAAGATCAAATTCTGGAAGGATGAATGGCATGAGAAAGGTAACCTGGAAACTCTTTTCCCTGATATTTACAATCTGGCAATGTTCCAACAAAGAACTATTGCAGAACTATGGACACCACAAGGGTGGAATTTCATCTTCAGGAGAGAACCAAATGACTGGGAAGTGATGAGGTTGGCAGAATTCCTCAACTTGGTTGGAAACTTTACTGGACTTCAAGCATATAAGGATATGCTTTGGTGGAAAGGCAACAATAAAGGAGAGTTCAAAGTGCATTCAGCTTACAGGCTGATGGATCAATCAAGCCAGCAGAGTCCCATCTGGCCCTGGAAACAAATATGGAAGTGTAGAATCCCACACAAAGTCTCCTGCTTTATTTGGCTCCTAGCTAAGGAAGCGGCCCTCACTCAGGATAATGTAATGAAAAGGGGGATAACCTTATGCTCTAGGTGTTTCCTATGTGGGGAAACCTTAGAAACTGTAAATCATCTATTTCTACACTGCAAATACACTCGGCAGCTTTGGAGGATTTTCTTGAGTCTTGAAGGCATATCCTGGACTATGCCTAGGAGAGTTACTGAGGCATTGTACAGCTGGGAGGAGGCAGGTGCCATTGCAAAAGACAGAACTAGATGGAGAATTATCCCTGCTTCAATATGGTGGGCAATCTGGAAAGAAAGGAATTCCAGATGTTTTGAAGGCATAGAAAATAGTGTGCAGGATGTTAAACTAAACTGCATTTTGTTGTTATGTTTTTGGTGTAATCAATTATACTCAAATGACACTGCCTCTATAGTTGATGTTTTAGACTCATTATAGTAATAGAGTAGGAGTGTCTAGAGTGCATTTGTATATAAGGTTTGAGTACAACCCATGTACTCTTGTGATATAATACATCGTTACCATTTTCAAAAAAAATAATATAAATCAATTGTTGTAAAATGAGTGTATCTCACGTGAATTGCCATATATGATGAGTGTATTTAATATGAATTACCATTTAAGATGAGTGTATTTCATGTGAATTGTCATTAAGGACATATGTATCTCATGTGAATTGTCATGTAGGATGAGTGTATCTCACGTGAATTGTCATGTAGGATTACTGTATCTCACATGAATTGTCATGTCAGGACAAGAGTACCTCACATGAATTGTTGTGTAGGAAGAGTATATCTCACGTGAATTGTCATGTTAGGACAATAGTATCTCACATGAATTGTCATATAGGACGAATATATTTCACGTGAATTATCATGTTAAGACAAGAGTATTTCACGTGAATTATCATGTTAGAACAAAAGTATCTCACGAATTGCCTTGTTAGGACAAGAATATCTCAGATAAATTATTATAAAGGACAAAAGTATATCACATGAATTGTTTTATGTCATGTAGGACAAGTGTAAGTCACATTAATATTTTAAAAAAAGTTATACCTCAGACATTACCCAAAGTACTCAAATTCCAAATAACATTTAAAGGATAAAACTGTCAATTCCTCTCATCACTTCAACATTAAAGTTGAAAGTGGTAACTCCCCATTTGGCCATTTGCTCTGTTTGCACTTTTGCATAGGTACTAACGTTCCTATTGCATACAAGTAAGCAAATTGAAAAAACGTGAGTTTGTAACAATCTTTTGTTTAAATGCTACTTTTGCTACAGTTCTTGATAGAAGTGTTATTTTGCTACTCTGCATTTCTTTGTTGAAGTGTTAATTTTTGCTACAGTTCTTGTTTTTGAAACAGAGTTCTTCTGGCAATGGCTAGTTCTGGCTCCTCCTGTGCTGACTGGAAAAAGATGGAAGACGAGTTCACAGCTTATGGGATGAGCCTCATGAATCCTCCCTCTTCCATTGATGAGCTCTTCAAACTTCTTCAGGTAAAAATCAATTTTTTTATTTGAATGAGATGAAATCACAACAAAAAATGAGATGGAAGTGGGAATTGCTGTTCTACTATAACGATTTTGGACTGGAAAATGGAAGTGATAATCTTTTTTTTTCTTGTTAAATTCATGCAATTTATGGCTTACTGTTTTCCCCTTTTCTTTGTCAGAAAGTTGAGTCTTTACTGAAAATGGTAAGTCAGGACCCATTTGATTCGACCACAAGTGCAATTCAACCTTTAATGAAAGCACTGGTTAGGAATGATCTATTGGGGCATACGAGTGAAGATGTCAAAGTTTCAGTGATTTCTTGTATCACTGAAATTTCTCGAATATATGCCCCAAAGTACCCTTACAATGATCATAGACAAATGGAGGTAGAACTACACCATTCTAACTTATCTTTCTGTTTTTACATCAATATTTTTTCCTTTTTTCACCCTGGCCATTTTCTTTGTCAGGAAATTCTCCGGCAAACTGTAATGGCTTTAAAAAAGTTAGCTGATGTTACTAGCCGCAGCTACCGGAAGGTGGTCCGAGTTCTGGAAATATTCGCAAAAGTAAGGTTAAGTGCAGTGGTATTGGACCTCGAAAATGAAAAGCTAATCAGCGAGATATTCAAAGTCTTTCTCGAGGTCATCAGGTATTCTGTCAAAATTCTCTTTTCCATGGATATTATCATTATTCTCTGATTCTTCAATGTTATGTAGAGTTCCGGTGTGTTTCTTTCCAACAACAAAGTCAATTACCTTCGGATTAAATTTGGGTGAAATGTAAATTTCATAAGGATGTTGCAGTGTGTTTTGTATTTTTAACTGCTTATCCATTAAAAGTAATATTATCTGAAATACGCTTATGCATTGAAACACTGCTCAACCGTACGTGCTATTCAGTTGCTTGCATATACTCCATTTGAGTCACACCTAAGCATGTAGGAGACTGTTGACATTGTAAACCATGCCATTTTGCGCCAGTGTATGAGCATAAGGTTATTCTAGAGATAATATTTCTCTGAGATGCTGGCTATAGTAATATTTATATTTTCTATGAAGGCCCTACCATCCTCATAATATATTCACTTGGATGAAAGAAATCATGATTCGGCTCATAAAAGGCAGTGATGAAATCTCAGTAGAGCTTCTACGGCTTCTTCTTGATAGTCTCAAAATTGATAATCAGGTAATAATCAATCTCCTATGAACCTCTTTGTTAAGAATATTTCTTTGGCACTTTTCTAATCCAGTAGTTTCTTTTATCCAGATGGATTCACCCGTTGCATCACACTTGGTGGAGGAAGTCCTAAAAGACTGTGCTGCCATTGTTAAACCTTACTTTGCAGAAGCCCTAAAGTCAATGGGCTTAAATTCTGGTGATTATGCTGAAACGGTTGCCTTATTATGCAATGAAATGCCAAAAGGAAAAGAAATGGTATGTTTTATTCATAACTATCTTGTCTACACCTAAACAATGGCTGCTTGCTTTTCTAAAGAAATGTTTATTGATATGATGCTTTGTTTAATGTTGATACTTCACTTTCATTGTCTATACATCCAAGCATTCATTTACACATATAAGTGGGCATAAACATCATGATTAAAAATGTCGTATTTTCCTTCTTTCTTGTGAGCGATGGTAGACTAGATACTCAGTAACTTCATATTGTTGATAAAATTAGCACCTCTGTCTCATTACCGCAGTTTTGCTCTGTATAAATGCCAACCACATCCCTCTTTGGGCTCCTGGTCCAAGCTTCAGTTGGGGGCGTGAATGGAGTGGTGTGCTTATATGAACTTGGCTATCCTGCCTTTCATAAGCTAGCTTTTGGGGTTTAGTTAGACCCAAATGCCATACCTTTACAGAAACATACAGTTTTTAAAGATTTTTTCCCTTTGCAGAAACATACAGTTTTTAAAGAACTTTTCCTTATTGTAAACATACATCACTCAAAGGAGTTAGAACCAACATTAGAATAACTCCACTCAGTTTACATTAGAATATACTCTAGTGTTGCATTTAGTTAACAAGATTTTGGTATTGGCTCTAATGCAATATTCAGCCCAAAGAGCAGGGGATGCCAAGGAGACTAAGTGCTTCTATTGTGTTTAATTATTACTAGGATGCTACAACAGTTTCAGTTGTGAATAGATAATAGCATTAGCAGATTTTTTTCATTTCCTCTTCTCTTATTTTTTTTATCAGATGGCAACTGAAAATGCACCTGATACTGTACATCGCATAAAAGTTGGTCCATCTGAGGCTAAATGTTGTGAGCCAGCGCGGCAGGATGACACTCACAGGGAGAAGCTAAAGGATACTTGTACAACAAACATCATGAAACCTGTCAATCCAGAAGATGTGCAACCAGCAACAAATGTGCCAAAAGAAAACCAGGAAGGGACTGGAAGTCATGAACTTACAGGTAGTCATGGTCATTTGTGTCAGCCCAAGAGAAAAGAGATCCCGATAAATGATGATGATGAGCTGGTTGTGTTAATTCCAATAGGAGATGTGCCGCAATCCCAAGTTCAGAAAAAAGATTCTCTTCATTTAGGTCTCACTTGGGGAGAGAGAACCAAGCGCACACTATGTGCCAAAAGAAAACGAGGAAGCGACTCAAGGAAGAATGAGTCTGCTTCAGATTGTGACGCCGAGAGAACATCTGAATCTAGCATAAAAAATGAAGAAGGAAACCTCAAAGAACACAAGGAGCCAACACTGCAACAAATTTTTGGAATGAAACTGAGGAAGAAGAAGAAGAAAACAACTAATATTGAAGAATCTGGAGATAAGGTTGACAACCGTACAGCTCAGTAATAGTTATTTCAAGATCTTTGCTAATTTATTTATGCAATGACCAAATTATTATTTTCCTTTTGCAATTCTCTTTTTTACTTGTGAGCTGCACAGGCTACTAAATTATCAGTCAAAGATGAAAATCACATAAACAAATGTGCTAATTATAAATCCGGGAGGAAGTTGGCTACAAGGAAACATGAGGTACTGATCTATAACTATATGTAGATTTATCTCCTATCTGTGTAACCTCCATATATGCAATTATCAGAGCTTTGTATGAATGGATGTAAGCTGTTGAAATGCTTCATAAACTGATTTGGTATCTTACATTTTGCAACTTCACTGATTTTTAAGAACTTCCCTTCACCGGAAACTATTTTCTGGCTCTTTAATGTGACAACTTTTGCAAAAAAAATATTTTCCCTCTTTTGAAGTTGAGCAGATACCAATCTTTCCATAATTCATTACATATCATAGAAATGACGGTAATTCCGCTTTGTTTTAAAAGTGGTTCTCCTGACTAGAGAAGAATAGCTTAGTGATTAGCCTCCTCCACCTTCAACCAGTAGGTTGAGGGGCGGGCTGAGTCACGAGAAGGGGATTAAAAGGATTTTTAAGAAAAAAGTGGTTTTGAATGCTTTCAAATTCTGAAGCACCGTGGCTCTAATTTTTCCATTCAGGATTCTGAAAGCGCTCGTACGAGCAAAGATTATGGTGCAGAACTGATCGGTTCTAAAATAAAAGTTTGGTGGCCATTGGAGCAAGCGTAAGTTCTTTAAAATATTGATGTGAGGACTGCAACACCATTGTAAATTTATTGTACTTGTCACACCCGTCGATCCTGCACGCACACTCCTTTTTGAAACTTGATGTAACTTTCAGTTATTGAGTTTGTTCTTTAAAACATTGCCTTGCCAGCTATGCTTTATGTGCAAGAATCTCCTTCGATGGCATTATACTCCTATAAGTTTTTGAATTGATGGTATAGATCTAGTACTAGCATGGGTTTTATCCTTAACTTCGTCTTCTACCTTGGCTCATTCGGTATTTCTTGAGATTCTGTAAGCAGAGCTCAAACTTGGAGACCATGCCTCCACGTGATGGCAGTTGTCTGCAGAGTCACACTATCTCAAGCGACCTACTCTCATTATGGTTTCACCCCTATGTAATCTGGAAGTCATGTAGGACATGACAAAACCATCTCAAGCAACCTTCTCTCATTTAATCCTTAATGTATGCTACTTGCACCTTCTAGCAAATGTGGTCATTTTTAGTCTTATATAATTATGCATCGTCGCACATCCATCTTAGTATCGCATCTCTGCAACACTTATCTTGTGGATATGTTGCACTTTAGAGGCCCAACATTCATTGTCGGTCTTATAATTATTATGTAAAGCTTAAAATCTATCACATAATATTTCTCCATTTAAATCATCCAGTTTTAATTCTATTGAGTAACATCTTCATCTATCACTTCATCCTTCTGGAACAACGAGAGTCTAGATATCTAAATTGTTTGCATTTAGGCACGTCAATCCAGTCTAGATTCACCTCAATTTAGTTCTTCTCATGTTGACTAAACTTTAGAGTTAAGAGCATATATTTAGTCTTAATTTTACTCATCGTATCCGAAAACCCTTGCTCTCTAAAGTGCTTCTAAACAGTTCAAGTTTTCGGTTGACACCCTTACTGGTTTCGTCGATTAACACAATTTCATCAGCAAATGGTGTAGGACCTCACATAGTATTATGTTGGTTAGTTCATTAATAACTAGAGTAAACAAGTAGTACCTCAATGATGATCCTCAGTGTAAACCCGCGGTTATAGGAAAATCAGCTCCTTTGTATCTCTTACTAGTTCTCAAGCCAGTGACAACTCCTTCATACATGTCCTTTATGAATTTTACATATTTATTATGAATTTCTTTCTCCTCCATCACCCACCAAAGGACCTTCCATGGTACTTCTTATGCTTTATTTGGGTCGTTGAACACGATAGCCGGTAGGTATGTCTCTTCTCATAATAAACTTCCATCAATCTTGTTAGAAGAGTGATGATAATCCACTTCTCAAACAGAAGTGTACATGGTCGTTGCAATAAAATTTACCCAACTAAGAGTCGGGGTCGAATCCCACATGGAACAATATACTAGGGTAACCAAGTTAGTTATGGAATTGTCACCAATTAAGCTAACCAATTGATTTTGTTTAAAAATAATAAAGATAAAATCTATCCAGAAAGCAGGTAAAATGATCAATGAACTTGCAAGAAAGGAAAACAAGAGATATGGAAAATAAGGAATTGATTATCATCAAGAACGATACATTACAAATAATTAACTAATAATAAACATGGAACACGTAGTTAGCCTTGGAATCTCAATTGCCCACTAATGTCTCTTGACTATTTAGCGGGTTTATCTTAGCTAGTTCTTGAAAACCAACTAGGAGATACTAATTATATTTCAATATTGGGCTACACTTAAGTTCTTCCTAAAGTGTGGTCTTGATGTTGCTCCGCAGAACTAGAAATGTGGTTTGCAAATGGGCTTCATGACATGTTATTCTTGATTGCAGACAGGAATGTGGTCCGCAGAACAGCAATGGGACCACAAAAGATCATCGCATTTTGGTCTTCAAAGTCCTTTATATTCTGTCTCTTTTTGTGGCTGACAGACCCATTATGAGTTGGCAGGAATGTAGCCTCTGTTGTAGATCTGTCAGGCATAAATTCGAACTGGTTTCTGTTACTCGATGTTCTATCACTCTTTCCCCGAGTTTCATTGTATACTCATTAGTTTAATACCATTATTGTTCCACAACTTTGAATATCTCTTTGTACTTCATGTCATTGTATCTACCAATTCTAATTTTACTTTATCTTGAATAAGAAGGAAGAATCTACCTACTAATATCTCATCTTAAATTTTCTCTTTACAGGTTTTACGAGGGAGTCATTTCTTCTTTTGATTCTGAGGCAAACAAACACAAGGTGACGAGAATATTTATTTTTATGAACTCTTGTCATTCTTATTTTATAAAACAATTCAACATCCTTGACCATGTAAACCCTTGTATCATTTGTTTTCAAAAAAAATCTCCTACCACTGCTAATATACCTGCAAGTAAAACTAACTCCATGTTAAGTTAAATGGGGTCGGAATAGCCGAATCTATTTAACTCTTCAAAATCAAGATCTGCCATGTAAATCCCTTTTTACATACAGGTACAACCTTACTGTTTGGGGACCTCTTTGTTGTAGACCCTGTTCTTAAATATGCTGATCGTGAAGTAGCATTGTCTAACTTGAACCATATTTTATTGGCTTTAACATTTCGCAAAAAATCCTCCTGAAAGTTCAAATGACCGGTGTTGTTTGGTGTTTCCGTTTTTAGGTCGTATATGATGATGGTGAAGTAGAGAAATTGAGACTACATAAAGAACGATGGGAAATGCTTGAAGACAATTCATCTCAAAAGGTTCTCTACCCATCTGATATACTGTTGTTTCTGACAGATTTCATATTAGAAAGTGGTTCTAAGTGTTTTCATGTCTGAAGCCCTCGTCGTTCTAATTTTTTGTTTCAGGATTCCAAAAGGCCTTGTTCCATCAAAGATTATGGTAAGGAACTGGTTGGCGGTAGAATAAAAGTTTGGTGGCCATTGGATGAAAAGTAAGTACTTTGGAATATTGATGTGAGCACTGCGAATCATTGTAATTTGTTGTATTAATCACACTCGTCCAACTAACCATCCTGTGCGCACACACTTTTCAGCAACTTGATGTAGCCTTCAGTTATCGAGTTTATGCTCTAAAATATTGGCTTTGCTGCTAGGCTCTATGTGCAAGAACCTTGTTCCTCCCAGTTACTTATACTCCTATGTCTTTGGATTTGATTGTATTGCAAGAATACTAGCATGTGTTTATTTGTAACTTGCATTATTCCTTGGTTCATTCAATATTTCTTAAGTAGTACCCTCTGTCCAAATATACGCCTCAGTTTTCTATTGGGCACGAAGTTTAAGAAAGAAAGAATGACTTTTGATACTAGTCGTCTAAAACATGCCATGGATATTCTGTGGCTATAAAATCATGTCATAGAGGGTAAAATGGGAAGTTCAAATTTAAATTATATCTAGGTTCTAATTATAAAAGGTGTAATTTCTTTTTGGACAGTCTGAAAAGGGAAGTGTGTCACTCTTTCCCCGAGTTTCATGCCATTATTGTTCGCACAACTTTGAATATCTCTTTGTTCTTCATATCATTGTATCTACCAATATTTATTTTACTTTTTCTTGAATAAGAAGGAAGAATCTAGCTACAATTTCTCATCTTAATGTTTCTCTTTATAGGTTTTACGAGGGAGTCATTTCTTCTTTTGATTCTGAGACAAACAAGTACGAGGTGACAATATTATTTATTTTTATAAATTCTTGTCATTGTTTCTATAATTTAGAATGTTTTTTAAGTTACTTATATGTTCCATTTTATTTTATACACTTCTCATTTCGGGATATATTTTAATGTTTAATGCATGTACATTAAACCCACAACAACAAGAATTCAACATCCTTGATCAGTTTAAACCCATGTAACATATGTTTCCAAAAAAGTTCTCCTACCACTGTTAGTATACCTGCAAGTAAAACTAACTCCATGTTAAGTCAAATGGGGTCGGAATAGCCGAATCTATTTAACTCTTCAAAATCAAGATCTGCCATGTAAATCCCTTTTTACATACAGGTACAACCTTACTGTTTGGGGACCTCTTTGTTGTAGACCCTGTTCTTAAATATGCTGATCGTGAAGTAGCATTGTCTAACTTGAACCATATTTTATTGGCTTTAACATTTCGCAAAATATCCTCCTGAAAGTTCAAATGACCGGTGTTGTTTGGTTTTTCCATTTTTAGGTCGTATATGATGATGGTGAAGTAGAGATTTTGAGACTACATAAAGAACGATGGAAGATGCTTGAAGACAATTCATCTCGAAAGGTTCTCTACCCATCTGATATACTATTGTTTCTGAAAGATTTAGTATTAGAAAGTGGTTCTAAGTGTTTTCATGTCTGATGCACTCGTCGTTCTTATTTTTTGTTTTAGGATTCTAAAAGGACTTGTACCATCAAAGATTATGGTAAGGAACTGGTTGGCGCTAGAATAAAAGTTTGGTGGCCATTGGATGAAAAGTAAGTACTTTGGATTATTGATGTGAGCACTGCAAATCATTGTAAATTTGTTGTACTAATCACACTCACCCACCCAACCATCCTGCACACACACACACTTTTCAGCACTTGATGTAGCCTTCAGTTTTCGAGTTTATGCTCTAAAATATTGGGCTTGCCTGCTAGGATATGTGCAAGAACCTCGTTCCTCCAGTTACTTATACTCCTATGTCTTTGGATTTAATGGTATTGCAAGAATTCTAGCATGTGTTTATTTGTAGCTTGCATTGTTCCTTGGTTCATTCAATATTTCTTGAGTTACTCCCTCTATCCCAGTATATGTCTCAATTTTCTATTGGGCTCGAAGTTTAAGAAAGAAAGAAAGAACGTTTTTGATACTTGTCGTCTAAAACATGCCATAGATTTTTCTGTGGCTATAAAATCATGTCATAGAGGGTAAAATGGGAAGTTCAAATTTAAATTATTTCTAAATTCTAATTATAAAAGGTGTCATTTCATTTTGGACAGGCTAAAAAGGGAAGTGTGTCACATTAAATAGGATAAATGAAGTATATGTTAGTTCATGATCCTTGATGCTTTAAGCAGAGTTCCCTGCATATTATGGCGGTCATAGGCAGAGTCAGACTGTAACCTTTTGTTGTTAATGGGTTCCTGAGTTTCCAATGCAGTTTGTTTGTCTAAAAAGCTGATATTTTCTTGTGCTACATCTTTTTGGCTAGGCTAACAAAAGCATTATGGATTACAATGGGTTCTGCATGTAGCTTACAGGATAGTTAAAGTATCCTTTCTGTTCAGATCACAAGTATGTGAAAAAATATCTGTCATTTTTCAATTTACTCTAAACCATTCATACTAATGTATCAATAACTTGGTCCTTTTCTCTTTTCCTTTTTCTCCTCTCTGCCTCATTCTCCATCCAAAAGGATCAGCCACGTATCAAACAACCAACATCCACTACAATTTGACCGATCATAGTATTTACCTTTGGTAGATTTCTCCTGTTGGTTGCTTCTTGTATGAAAGTTCGAAACAGGCTAATGTTGCTGGCGATATTACTATTATATATATTTGATTCATTTTGAGTTATTCTTTTTGCAAGTACTTGTTGGCTCACAATTCCTCTGCAAACATAACACAGTGAAATAGATAACAATGTAAAAATTGATGAGTTACTGTGGATATACTCAGTTTGGACTGTAGTTCAGAAACCCTATATAGTGACTCGTGGTGTGTCAGAAGGAAGAATCTGCTACATTTTCTCATCTTAATGTTTCTCTTTGTAGGTTTTACGGGGGAGTAGTTTCTTCTTTTGATCCCGTGGAGAGGAAACACAAGGTGATGAGATTATTATGAAGCCTTGTCATTGCCTCGCTAAATTCATAATTTTCTTTGAGTTACTGTTTATGTTTAAACACTTCTCATTCATATTTATAGATCTGTTTGAACCCTAGTATCATATGTTTCCTTATCTAAATAATTTCAGGTGACTTATATGTTAATTAATATTAATTATATCTCCATGTTGTGTCAAATGGGGTCACTTAAACTAGGGAATAGCCGAGTCTATTTAACTATTCAAATTCATGATCTGCCACCAAGGAAGGGAAATATAAATTGATCGTGAAGTAGAAATCTTACCTAACTTGCACATGTTTTACTGGCTTTAATGTTTTGCCAAAGTTCCTCCTGAAAATTCTAAATGACCAAAGTTGTTCTGGACTTCTGGTGTTTCTCTTCTTAGGTCGTATATGATGATGGTGAAGCAGAGAAATTGAGACTACATAAAGAACGATGGGAGATGCTTTAGGATAATTCAACTCAAAAGGTTCTTTACCCGTCTGATATATACTGTTGTCTCATACAGATTTCATATTCTTGTTGCATTTATATTTGTTTTGATGTTATTCTTTTTGGTGCAATCTGTACAGGACCATGGATTAGACTTTCAAGGCCATGCTGTTTCATCTGCTACGTAAGTTTTGATTCTAATTTTGTTATAACATTTGGGATATCCAGCTTCAATTGTTGTGCTTCACTTGTGCATACCAAATTATTTTTTTTAGGATTTGTCCAGCACATCACCTTAGTCATGTCAATATATTTGGTCCTACTTGTAGCTCAGAGAGAGAATTTCCATTTATGTAAATCTTTGTTTGGATATATATATATATAAGTCAACCCAAAACAAACTATCTATGCATGTCTCTACCTGGAGAGTCGAGGCTAATTACCAGCCTTCCTTCTCTTAATGTTGTCAAAATGTGACATATCAGAGCAAATCTCCCCACCAAAAAGAAATTGGTATTCCCAGAAGGTATCTTAATAGATAATTCACTTTGCAAATTCTTAATGTTGTCAAAGTTTGAAATTTCAAGCTAGTTACACCACCTGAAAGAATTGGTATACCAAGAGGAAGTATCTAAGAACATACACTCTTGGCAAAAGTTTTTCTTTTCCCGTGTGAGGGGGATAACGTGGTTGTACTCTCATTTCTTAGTTTCAAGCATGGTATCAGGAAAATCTCTCTTAAGCAGGCACTAAGTGTATTTCATGCACACTATATATGTTTTTGTTTGATGAACTGGAGCAGGTCTTAAATGAAGAAAGTAAAAAGAAACTCCTCGACAGGGCCAAACATCTCTTCATCCAAAAGGTCTTTCTGTTTGTTACACTCGTACCCAGTAGTACTGCATTCAAACCTGAATATTCGACGTTTTTTCTTAAACGAGTTGTAATTTTTATCTCCAGGTCATAAAGTACCGCAGAGTAGAAGGGCACTGAATCAGTGGAAATTTCTGTTGTGGATAGGGAAGAAAACTCAACTGCTGGAAGTCTTGAAGAATTTTCATAAAGCAGTGTGATGTAAGTGTAACTACTAAATTAGGTTTACCATTAAGGGATGTGATCCAATTGATTGGAGAAATGAGATGCTAGTCTTAGAATATATGAGCAGCAACAAAAACTGAGCTTGTCATGCTTGTAGATTTATTGTATGTAGCTACAGGCTGCTCTGGTGTTTACTAATACTCGGCAGCTTATATGTATATGATTAAATTACTGATGTTGGAGAATTCAGAACCAATAAAATTCAAATTATGAATCTGCGATTTTCAAATTGGTTGTGGTTTCATTGTATGTCTAAGTGTAACTTATCTGAAATCCATATACTATCTGATTTTTAGTTAAATAAATGTGTAGAGATCAAAGAACACTATACTAAGGATGATTTAGATTTCCAAAACATTGAAGTCGTTTGTTTTTGGTGGATAAGGTTAAAGATTATTTGTGGCCTAATTCATGCATGCTTACGGAATAAGAGTAAACAGGTGATGTGAGCAACTTAGATTGTGCAGTTGCGTGCTTTCATATCTTCACCATATGACATGTTATTCCTAATTTTCTATGGAATATAACTAGACTATTTCTTGTTTAGGTTTCTTTGTGCTTCCATATAAGAAGTATAAAATATTGAGCAAGCACTGCACATGTTATTTCTTTTTGTACTGCGATACACTGAAACACAGCATTGGTTGAACTAGAAGGTCAACGGTCCAACGTCCAAAATTTATATTTATAATTAAAAAAATTTATTACATACGTACAAAAGTTAGATTAGAACTCAATTATTGATACTTGATGTCAGTTGCGTGCTTTCATATCTTCACCATATGACATGTTATTCCTAATTTTCTATGGAATATAACTAGACTATTTCTTGTTTAGGTTTCTTTGTGCTTCCATATAAGAAGTATAAAATATTGAGCAAGCACTGTTATTTCTTTTTGTACTGCGATACACTGAAACACGGCATTGGTTGAACTAGAAGGTCAACGGTCCAACGTCCAAAATTTATATTTATAATTAAAAAAATTTATTACATACGTACAAAAGTTAGATTAGAACTTAATTATTGATACTTGATGTCAGTTGCGTGCTTTCATATCTTCACCACATGCCATGTTATTCCTAATTTTCTATGGAATATAATTAGACTATTTCTTGCTTAGATTTTTTTTGTGCTTCCATAGATACATATAGAAGTATAAAATAATGAACAAGCACTGCACATGTTATTTCTTTTTGTACTGCGATACACTGAAACACGGCATTGGTTGAACTAGAAGGTCAACGGTCCAACGTCCAAAATTTATATTTATAATTAAAAAAATAATGGTTGCGGGCCGCATAGTCTTCACAAAAACAGTCTTAGCCAGGGCAGCCCTGACTGCAACAACTGCAGGTGGGCATTTGAGTTTCATTCCAGGAGGTAACTGAAAAGTTGATGCCACAATTGGGAGAACTCCGCTAACAGCTCTATATGGGACAATTTCCTGTTTCTAACCACTCATTCCCCATTGCCTCGTTCTTATTCGATGATTTTTTTCTCAGGAAAAGGTTCTTTCTTCTTCTTCGAATTCCAATCAAAACTAAACGGACCTCCTGATGATAAATTTATCGAGGCTGTTTTTGCAACTAAAGATGAAACTGAGAATACTCTGTTTCCATTTTTGTTTGATTCAGAAAAGTTTTATGGATTCCGATGATTTGAATGCTCTCTACTCCGCTTAGCTAGCACATTCCTATTTATAAAAGTGTAAAGCCTAATTTAATTAGGATTAGAAATTATATTCCTATATTAGACACGAGTTAAAGTAAATTCCAAATTCTATATAAATTTGAATTATTCTTCCAAATGCAAAATCAATCTTGTTTTGATTTCATAGTGCATCACTTAATTTCCTTTTCTAGTATTATAATATATTGAAATTTGAACACGAGTTAGTTTTTTTTTTTTTTTTTTTGCGCTAGGGTTACCATATAATATATTGGACACGCATTGTAATTTATTACTATCTTTTTTTATAAATTTGAAATTGTTCTTTTTATATTCTTACATCATAGTAGCATATTGTTCTTTTATTATTTCTCAGAATTCAATTATGAAGAATGGAACTCGTTAGTAAATATGATATTTTAAGTTTAAAGCTTTCTTAATAAAGTTTGAGTGTAGGCCTCCATGGTTCATGACCCGTCGTCGATCACTAACGACAATTACCAATTTTAGCCAACTTACAAAATAACTATAGTTATAGGATTATTAAAGTTCAATAGCTATAAGTATGGTATTTATAAAAAATGACTACAATTTAACTTTTTTCTAGCTATATTATTGTATTTGTTTTTTATTTTTCTATTTATACACTAATACAATTTTAATTACAATGAACTAAATAAGGAAACTGTATTAATTGTACAAATTCAAATTAGTATCTTATTTATAAAATTTAAAGTATTAGTATATCAAGGATACAAGTATTTGTAAAAACTTAATGTATTAATATATTAAACAAGATGAAGTATAACAATTTAGCATATGGCAAACATCCATATATATTCAAGAAAAATAGCTATGTTTTATTTTTTTCATGTTATATGGATATAATTAGACTATAAATAGCAAAGTGAATTATATACAAAGAAATGATACAGACTTGGTTTCAGCTCAAGTCAAAAAAAAAAAAGAAAAAAAAAAAGAAGAACCAAACGTAACAAGATAGCAAAGACAAAATAAAATAAAAAAGACAAAAGCTCTAAACAACCATCGGAGAAATGAGAGGTCACCAGAGAAGATGATGAATTCAAATTACAAAAAATGATCCTAGAGTTATGTAAAAGAATCTTAAATTGGAAGGAATTTGGGGGGAATATAGAAAATTTGTGATAAGGAGATATTGATGAAAGAGAAAGTATTAATGAGGGTAAATATGGTGACCAATCACATAAAACATGCCTAGCATAATTAATTATGTGTGTAATAATAACTTTCTTATTTAATATTTAATAATTTCCTATATATTTATATATAATTAACTTTGCAATTTATTGTGTAATTATATCCATATAACATAAAACAAAAAAAATTTATAGCTATTTATCTTTAATGTATATTGATGTTTGTCATATTCTGTAGTTTTTCCATAATTTTTTTAGTAATAATTGGCTGACTTCCTACCATCTCACAATTATTAATAATAAATAACCAATAAAGCAATTGAGCTTTATTTCTTCTATTTTCTTATTAGTATGTTTTTCTTAACCTCAAAAACTACATTGGCTCAAAGTATACAAATCGCAATTCACTTAGATTTCTATGGAATTAAAACTCAACTCCTCTATTAAAACACTGAGTCTAACTCGATTACAAAAAAATCTCTTAAAAAATTGACTTTAAACCTAATTGTACAACGATAATAAACAAATCCCCTTCATGTTAACTCTAGCTTGAAGCAAGTTAAAAGGATTATACTATGTATTAATCTTCAGGCTAACTCTAGCTTGAATCAATATTTACTCCAACAGATTATGACCTTAGAAATATTACTTCTACAAAAAAAAAACTGATAAACTTACAACTCAAAAGCCTAATACATGAAACAAGAACTCAAAAGAAAGTATCAAAAGGTAAATTTAAGCCATAGAAGTAATTTTCCAAAATTTCTTTGTTCAAATTATTTTCATAAAGTAAATAAAACTATTTAGGATTACAACTTCCATTTTTCTATTCCTATACAGCAACAAAAAAAAGTATCTTTAGGTAACTCAGAAGACACAAAATTAATTTTCCTAAATTGTTTTAGTCAAATTATTTCCATAAAGTAAAACAGAACTATTTAGGATTGAATTTTTTGAGGTAATATTCATGAATGAAATTAATGTAAACAAAAAATGAAAATACAAACCGAATTGTAATTGATGAAATTTAAAGAAAAAAGCACGAATAAAGACTAAATTCAAATATTAAGAACGTTAATATGTGAATTAGCAGTAGATAATTATTCCTAACAAGAACATCAATAATCCAATAACGTAAAATTATCAATTTAGTGAAAGTAAATATATTGTTATTTTTAAAAAAACGTGTTTGGAGAAATTAGTCATTATTAGATATTCTTCCTCAATAAATATTGTTCTTTATCCAAAAATGTTGAATTTTTTAGTACTTTGCTCTTTCAAAGTCTAGTGAATAGACACTTTTGTTGATAGAACCTTCACGGGTTAAATTACTCAATTAATTTAACAAGTATATTACGTTTGTTAATCATCAAAATATCATATCAGTCAATAAAAAATCTACTTGTAATATATTCTTGATAAATTACTCAATTAATTTACACGTATATTACGTTTGTTAATCATCATACAAGTCAACAAAAATTATACTTGTAATATTTTATTGATAAAATATGCCGGTGACCTTATTCCGGGCAACTAAAATAAGAAAACAAGAACGCTGGAATTTCTTAGCATTCCTTAAGAGTGTTTATTCTTGACTGTTAATACTTAAATCTGATTATTAATATTAATTAAGAATAGTCTATAGTATGTAAGTTAGAGTAAATTCTAAATGTAACCAAGAAAATGTAACTTATACTCACATAATCCTTTGAGATATTAGCTTTTTAGCCCTTCAAATATTGATCATTTCAATTTTTGATCCTTATAAATTTTAGTTAGATACATTTAACCTTCAATTCATTGATATGTGCATTTTTTATCTCTCAGACTTTGAATCTTTACAAATTTAATGAATTATGTATTAAGTGCTAAATCATTCAAGTATCGATGTATTATATTAAATTTGTACTATTACTTAAACTTATTTGAAGGCATATAACTCCAAAAAAAAATCACATATAAAATAAATAAATATTATAGTTGATTAAATGTTAAATATGCTTAACAAAATATTGTAAGGATCAAATAAGAATTCATCAATAATTGAAGGATCGAAAATGCAATATTCCTAATCACCTTCAAATTATTAAAAATTTGTTGATTATAATGTTTATAGTTCTTCCAGTCAATTTTATCAACTTAATACAATATTAGGATCACATGGTTCAGGGTCGCAACTAGCAATGGATCAATGAAGTTGGAAGGGTT